TTCCCTTCCAGTGGAGCCTTATTAAAGCCAAGACTTAGAGCTGAGGTGGTCCTGTTAATACAGAGTGGAACTAAAATTTTATCAGGGGTTTCTTCAAGAGCAGGGGAGCACTGTTAGGACTTTTGCCCACCTGAGGGCTCTACATAATTGCTGTTTTGCATGAATCAAAATTCATCCACAGGAATACATACGTAGCTGTGGACCTGCCTCTATTTCTCTAAGGGCAAGAGGCAGGACACCAAGCAGAATGTCTTGCAGGCTAAGCCCACCTATTTAAGAGATGGCTACGGAACCATCAGTTCAAGACTTTGCTCCTGCTGTTATGAAAGGCAGGGAGTAAAGGAATGGTCCTTGGGACCTCCTTTTATCCCGCCCCCCAAAGTGGAGGTTAGTATACGGTACTTAAACAGGTTAAATTTCAAGCAAAATGCTGACAGGGCTGGGCCAGGACCAAAGTACCTGATGTCTTTCAGGAAGGCCTCCATCTTAAATTCATTATTCCATCTCCTGTCTTTCACTTCTTCTATAGTTACCCTACACTGATACATTGTAAAGGACCACCTGCCTTTCATTCTGTAGTACTTGAAGACCCACCCGAAGTCCCCTGAGAATTCTATCCCAGAGTTCACAGTTCTGTTTAGGACCAGGTCACCACCTTAGAGTTCCAACGTCCATGTTTTCAGACAACCGGATAGAAGTTCCTCAGCTGCCTTTGCCCTGGAGAAGGCCACTCCAGCCACCACCTGGAGGGCAGAGCAGTTCGAGCAGTTCTATCCCAAAAGCAACCACCCTTCTTTCTTAGGCCAGCAGTAAGGCTGCCCATCTTCCCAAAAAAGTCACCAAAAACCAAAAAAAACCGTTGCCAGTCTGTAAGGACCAGCTTTTGGCTGGTTTGATCACTGTGTAAGTGCCCACCGGCTCCTGTTTCTGTTATGGATCTTCCATTTAGTCAAAGTTGGTTCTTGTGATTTATTTTTAATCAATTTTTACTCTTTGGATAAAGTTTCATTTTGTCATAAGGAAAATGTGACTGAAAAAGTTATATGCAAAAAAAAAAAAAAAGCTTAAAAGACAAAATACTAGTTTTCCCCATTTTTCAGTTTGCCGAGGGGAAGTATTTGTGACTGAACAGACATCAAAACAGCTTTCATCTTCACCAACACTGAAAAGTATAGCTGACACAGGAATATAATCCTGTCTGCTGACTTCTGTCTACCATTCTTGGTCCAGCTTAAAAGAAAACTCACCCTTTTAGCATCATGTAACTCTTCCAGACCCAAGAGGTCTCAGCTCCTCCATTATAAGCCCCAGTATTACTGACCCTACCTGGCCTCCTTTCGAATTTATACTTCAATATAATACTTTTAAATATGTGGTGATTGGGTGAAAACTATTTCCCCAGAAAAACTGTTACTTTCATAAATGTGTGGAATAAAAACAAGCAATTAAATAGTTGATTTCCTTTCCTTGTATTTTTCAAATACTCCCTAAGATAAGATCCTTGTTGAAGGTGAACCAACAGGCATTTGTTTATGCTAATTGTGGGGCCCACTAAAACCACATTGATTAAATAATTGCAGGTACCTGAAGACTTTTTTTTTTATAACCTGAGTTTTTCTTTTTAAATAGTAGCTGGTTTATATTAACCTCTCCATCAAAGGTAAACAATGATACTGATTTAACTTGTATGAGGTTAAAAGTCTTCAGACTTCCATGTTTTTGTTTTCCACTTCCCTCAATGGTTACCTCTTTTAGGCAGTCACCGTCTCTGTTCCATCTTCGGCTCTTAGAGAAACAGGCATGGGAAGAAAGGATCCATTTCACAGTTCCCTTGGAGTGTATTTCCCACTGCTGAATTAAGGTAAAAATCATAGGCAAGAGAGACTTCGTCTGTAGCTGGAGTAGCATCAATGTGTGGGCCTACCAACTGATCTGATGTTCTGCCAAAGCCTGTCTGCACCAGCTACCAAAACTGCTATGGACTCGCAGGTGGTTAAGATTCCTCTTGGAGACTGAAGATACTTAATCATAAATAACTTTGGGTATTAAGTGATCAGACAGCTGAGATTGATCAAGCCCTTTCTCCCTCTCCTGCTCCAGCGGTACACTAGCTGTTTCATCATTGCCAATGCAGGTAATTAACTGTTTCAGATTCACGCTCACCTACAAGCATGTCAGCTTTCTGAAGTTAACATCCAAGCTGCCCGAAACTGGAACGTTAGGTTAATAAAAAATTAAGTGCCAGTTAAACATAATTGCTTAATTCTCCTTTGAGATGCTTGCACTTGTTGCTAAGTCTTCCTCTGAGCCTGCAGCAATACTTTTACAGGGATCTCTGAGAACTTTAAATGAGAGCCTTGACATTCTGACTACTCCAGAAAGGCGTCCAAATTAGAGCCTATATGATTTCTTCTTAAAAACTGTTAAAGTAGTAAAATCCTGACTAGCCTCATCCTAAGAAAAACTTGAAACTGTATGAAAATCTCCTAGTGCCTACCTGCATATCGATTATATTATTTTAAAAGAAAACACCCCATAGTTTTACCTCATCTGGACTGTACTATGCCACTGGCATGAGTTAGGAACTTCTGTAGTTGCCTGTTCCCTTCTAAAGGTGTTCTACGGCCACTAAAGTTATCCTGCAATTATTTTTAAACTCTATCAATTCTCTTAAAGCTCTCGAGAGTTTGGGGTGTCATGTTCATATTTTAAGTAGTGAGAAAGACATCCAGACTACAGAAAACACCCAAAGGATCCCTAAAACTTTCAAGCCATTAGCAAAGGCCTAACTGGGAGTTACGTCTCCTCCATGAAACTATGTAAAGCAAAAAGATCATGCTAGGTTTATAGCTGTACCTGTATTTCTAGATGCAGCAGAGATAGAACATTTTTGGAGGCCAAAAGGGAGAGAATTCTCTGATGAAATTTCTGCATTGAATTGAATTAGGGTGCAGTCACAGGGTTGCCAAGGTTTTTTCCTGCAGTGACAGCTTTGTAGAACCATAGTATTAAAAAAAACTCCAAAAAAAAAAAAGTCCTAGAGCAAATATTTTTCTATTTATCTATGTGGAATGGCCTATTTGACAAGAAATGATACAAACTCTACTTGCTGCCACCTGTTTTTCACTGAGGTTTATCCAAATCCTATTCTGTTTCATTGAAACCTTGTGTTTATGTAGGCCAGGCTGAAGTCAGCTACGAATCTGTGGCCCTCTGAAGTTCCCTGTTTCACACACTTGAAGTTACTTTCTAATAGATATGTGTCTTCGGCTGCCAAGCACTGACTTTTTAGAATTGGACCCAGAACTACCAAAGTAATGCTGACCGCTGCCACCGTGTCATCACTGAGCACTCGAGGGCTGTTAAAATATGAACAAGCTGAAAGCAGCTGTACCTGCACTCTTGTTTTACCAATTCCTGTATAGAGGAAGACTGTTTCACATACAATGGTTGCATTTTTGATTGAGTTAGATTGGATAAATTCTCTATCACACTGCATCTGAGTGAGCTCTTGCATGGGACCAAGACAAGAAATCAATCTGCCCGTAACAGCAACTGCTATTGAGTAACTAGATCCTTGACTAATAGTGCTTGATTTTTCCATAGTCAAGGTTGCTACACATCACTCATCCACTGATCATCTGAAATACCAGCTTAGCAGAATGAAGAAGCAAGCTATATACAAAATTCCCTCACATTCACACCGATGACCTACTTTTAGTTAGTGCTTACTGTACCTTTCACTAATGCACTTTCTGCAGATCAAATCCATGTGGAAAATGTTGTTCGTAGAACTCACAGAATTCACTAAGAGTGCTCGTGTCAACGACTGCCAAATGAATGAGAGCCCCTAATAATCTGCTTTTGTTTGAACCTAATGCAAAGATGACACATGTTCTTTTCTAATCAGTTTCTAGACATATTAACACTTACTTACTTTGCATGAGATTTAAGTTTCCTATTATTTGAAAATTGTGCTCCTTTTAAACCACTTGAATTAGAAGAACCTGCTTGAATGTACGGTCAGTTATTAAAGCACATGTGACTAAGTCTGCATTCGTCAGTATTGTTCTGTTTGTACTGAAAGTCTCATTTTAAAGTTGCCCCTTAACACTGTACTATACCTTGTAATTTTTTAGATTCTTCACTTGTATGCTTTAAATGTTTCCAGATGCCTTTAGTTTTAGCTGCTGTAAAATAGCTACTTTGTGTTATTTGATATAATTGTTTAAAAAAAAAACTCCATTTATTTATACAGAGACATAATATTTTACAAACATTCTTATATTCTGAATAAATATTTCTAATTCCATGACGTACTTTAACTGTGTTCATTAAAGGGTGATAAGACTGTCCTTCTGCAATACTGTTGTACATGTAAATGTCCAACCTATGCTGCTTCACGTTACATTGAAAGCCCTAGTCAAAACTGGGACCCAGAAGACACTACATTAGGTCAAATCAGCCACAGAACCCTCATTTATCACCAATTTCTATTTGGCTGCCTTTTAAAATTTGGTATGAATGGAAGTTATCTATCGAGAAAAATCTTGTTTCATTTTTAAAAATCAGGGAAACAGACTATCATCAAGAACTGGAAGTGCAAGGAAGTCACACATGACTACAGGAAAGATGGCAAGCAGCTCTGCAACCCGTCTACCTGTCCACTAGAGGGACAATGTTCTGCAATGAGGGCGTCTCTCCGGAGGCAAGCAAAATGTGTATGTTGGTGCTCCTCTTAAGATTTTAAATAAAAATTATATACATGAGGTTTGTAGTGGAGAAGAATGTATTTCTCCCATTTCTCTCCCAGAAGACTGTTAAGTATTCTATTTGGAAAGCCTGGTTGGAGAACAACTGTTTAAGAAATACTGGATTGTATGTATCTAACCAATTCTGCTTTAGAGCAATAACCAAACTGTTAAGTGTTTGAGATGGAGAATACATACCATTTCTTTATTTTCACTTTTGCAGAGGCACTCTTTTAACAGTTCTTCCCATCATATAAACATACCTTTATCTCATACTTGTCATTTTTTATTGGTCCAAAGAGAGACAAAATATGAGTAAATTGGAACCTATGAAACAAGTAACAGTAGCAGAAACCAGGTTAAGGTAGTAATTAAAACTGCCTAAGCAGCAAAATTTATTGATATTGCACTACAAACAGCCTAAATTTAACACGATATTTTTACAGAAAGCCAATATTTGAACAATCAACTGTAAAAATGTTTTAAAATACAAAAGGAAACCTTCATTCATTCAAATTGTATTCTGTAAGATAAAAGGTTTTTCATTTCTAAACTGGTGTTATTTACATCAAAAAGCTTTCAAAAAAGAGTAACTGTTAAGACACAGGACTTTGTTCATTTTCTCAGGGGAGCGTACAGCTGGCATTGCTAGTCAACTCTGGCAGTATGATAATCCTGCAAACATTTAAACTCACTGGAAATTCTTAATTTATGATAGTCACACCCAATATAAGTGAGAATCAGTCCTCATCCTTTGATTAACACTGAGGGAAAGAGACAAAGCTACTGTTTAGCCAGAACGTAGTAAATCCAGAAACACAATAAATCCAATCCAAAGGTATCAATTTGTATAACAACAAGGTAAACCCCACAGCTATTTTGAGGTTCCTTTTCTGCTCTAATTGTTTGACGACTAACCAAAACAAGTACCAGGAACTTCATTACTACCACAGGCAGAATTACTCCCAATGGTTTACTTACAGTCTTTTTCCAAACATTAAAATGCCCTAGAAGGTGAAGTCATAAAACGCTGTGATAATTAAGGCAAAAATTAAATGTTATATCATTTCACATAAGACAAAAAGGTACTAAGAGTTTACAAATCTAGTCACATTCACTCTAAAGTCCAGTTTTCTCAACATCATATTTAGGGAAACCATTTCAATTTTTTTCTACCAGCTTTTGTAGGTCCCACACAAAATTTAACATGACTCAGCATAAATATCTTCACCTTCTTCAGACTAAAACCCGCTCCCAAGAAAACTGTTTAAAGACTACACATCTTCCTTGAACATTACCTAATCTCTGCAGCATAAAAGACACTTCAAACCCTTGTTTTGGAAGTAGTAGGATTAAAAAAGTTTAAAAAAAAAATTCTTATTCCCTTTCCCATCCAAACTAAACTGCATGAAAGACAATCTTATATAGGATTTCACTTGTTAATACACGAACTATAATTCCATTTGATTAATCATTTTATTCTGAAATAACTGTTTTAAGTTTACATTAAAGCCAACACATAAACCTTTAAATCTGAATTGTATATGTCAATTACCAAAGGTGATTTTTTATAAGGTATTAAGCTAATAAACTTCAAACACAATCATAAGAAAATATATATATGTGTGTATATTACATAAATGTGTGTGTTATATACACAAATATATATATACAAAATAGTTCATGGTTTTATTTTCCTTCCCTGTTACTGAAGGAAAAGTCTGTAAGAAAATGGAAAGTCAGTTAGCTATCTCTTGTCCTAACTTTGAAGTGAAATATGAGCAAAAAAGTAAAATTAAAGACTCAGTTCTTCAGACACTTCTATGTGAAATTAAAAGGTACTTGTACAGCATCCAAATGCAAACCTAAAATGAACAACAGAGACAGCACTGCGCTAGGACAGTAGTGAAATGCACAAAGAAACTTGTAGATACGTCTTTTGTGCTTTTCTATCAGTGCACATTATATATACAGGACATGAAGAGAGCAAGTCCACTGCTACTCATTCACTGCAAAAAGTATTAACATCTAACCAAACTGCTGAGGAATAGTTACTACCTTGCTAAACTGCATTCAGTTGAGAACCTTTACTTTCATTTGCTGCCATCCATAGCTGATTCCAAAATTACCACAAAAGAATAATATAAACCAAGATATTTTACAAAGAACTAATTTCTTAAAGCTTGAGAAATGACTAAAAATGTAGATTTGTGCCCAGAATGTTTCACACCATAGTTTGTAGCTAGAGATTGTTTCAGAACCTCAGTCAATGAATTAAAAGCAGATTAAATTAAAATGTTATATTCTACCTCAGAAAGTCCACAACCTAAGACTGTTACCTAAGACCTCTCAAGGACTAAGGACTAGCAGAACACTGCCCATCTCACCCTAGAACCACAGTTTTCTTTGTTCTCAATCTGATAGCTACATGCACTGAGACCCAAAACGGCACTGGTATCCACAGCCTTCCTCTCTGCTTGTGGCCCAAGGGTTGAGTGAGATCATCTCTGAAGGGTAAGATATGATCACTGCATATAAATTCCCACAGTGGCAGATTTACCATAAGGATGTAGCACAAACTATTCTTCTACAGAAGGGACAAGATACAAAGGGCGGGTGGGATAGCAGTGGGGACTCCATGGCCTCTTCCTGACTTCAGAAGCCAATAATCAAAACAACACCCAAACCCCTACAAGAGCCCTCCCACCAAAAAAGCAGCATATATATATATATGTTCAGGGCCTTATTCTTCCATTGGACTAAAGGACTAAAGAAGTCTACTAAGAGGAGGGTCCACGTGGGACGAAGTTACAAAACAAGGTAATTGAGTCCTGCATCCAATCCCTTTCCCACAAGCGCCGTCGGCCAATACTACACAGCTAATGCAAGCACTCTGTGCGGGTCGAGTCTTTTCAGATTGTGCTCTCAAGACGCTACCATTGCTAAACCATCCCCTCTGCTAACCAGATTAAAGATTCAATTATAAACATCTCTCAAAATAAAACTTCCATACTTTGCCATAGTTTTTATTTACATTTCTTTGTACGTTAAAGTCTGAGCAACTACGCTGGTGGAAGCCAGCCTTTCAAGTCCACTCCCATGTATGAGAGGTAGCTTTATTCTTTTCCCTAGCTTTACTGTTTCAATAGTAAATGCAGTTTGTCACAAGACAGCTCGATGGAAAGGTACGGATCGAAGAACGTACCTTTTAAAAGAACGAAGGTACAGCTACCTCATGAAGTGGCTATGTCACACACCTGACCATGGCTGGCTGTGCTCTGACTTACGTTCCTGTAAGAGAGCAGAGCACTTCAGTGTGGCTGCAGTTGTAAATTATCAGCACAGGAAGGACCAGACTCCCAAACACCGATCTTTAAAGTGAGAAAAAGTACTTCAGATTAACTGGATTGCTTGGCAACCATAAAAAAATAACAACTTTATCCAGAGCTAGAAAACACTTGGTAATGGCCACATATATTAGACACTGCTTGGCCGAGGCAATTATCATGTTTCTAGCCTAATACAACAGACAGCACTCAAGAACTGGTTTATCTTCTAAAATTTCTTCCTTATACTCTCACTATAGCTATCTCCTCCCTTCAGGGCACTTTTGTTGTATAATAATAACCTATCCTGTATTTTGAAACGGCAATCCAAAACTTTATTTTGAAAGCAAGGGACAGAGCCTTTATTGCCTATTTGCAATCTGCCATCTTCAGGACACCCGAGTATAAACTTCAAGAGCAACTCAATTCTAGGAAGATGCTGATGCCATCATAATCTCATTTTTAGAGTTCTCAGCAACTATACAAATACACTTTAAAGTCTTAGGACAGAATATAAAATGAGGAACTCTAGCTAGGCTTTACCAAGCTATCAGAAATAAGGTTTAACAAAACTGTTGTTTTACTAACACCTGTTTAGCCATAGAGAGATACTTAAAGGTAAAGGATATTGATACCTTCAGACAAAGTTAAGACTTTGTCTTGCTTATCATTAATCTAAAATTACATCAATACATATGAGCCCCTTCCCCAGGCCAGAATATAATCCGAGTCAAAATCACTAAGTGACACTTTTCTTCAATCATAAAAATGTTAATGAATCTGACCTTGTAACTATGATTAATATGCAAAGAAAACACTGCCTCAGAGCACACAGAGACATAATAGATGTCGGTCAAAACAAAATCTCAACAGGCAGAGGGAGGTACTGGTACAAAAATAAAGATAAAAAGCTAAGAGATATTATCATAGTAAGAAAAGTAACTTGGCAAAACAGTCTAATTTTTATGTTGACTTTGCATACTGTTCAAGTTAACTGTTGGAAACAAACAAAAACAAAAAAGAGGGACTTAGGTAATGAAATGTTTTTAATGCGTACATGCACTTAGACCTGAACTTCTCTAAAGACCACCATAATATGTTGAGCTTTATAATAAAATTTAAATTTAATCCCTGTGGAAGGATGTCATTCACTTGGAGTTTTTTATTTGATATTACGCACAAACTACTAAAGCCGTAAAAGACAAAGTACCAACCCAATCTTATAGCATAAAAGTATTTTTGCTATATTTTGCTATACATCTTCATTATCTGCACTTACTAATTGATATTTAATAGAAAAATAAGAATATCCAAAGCTCAAAGCAGCAAGCAGTGACCACAAATCCCTTGACAACATAAGAGACTCGCTTTTATATATTAACATGAAAATCCAACTTAAGTTTCAAACCTCTTCAAATTTCACCCATGCTAAGGGTTCTATTCAGTTTATGTCTCAGGAAGAGTGTCACTGGTTGAAATCCTAAAACCATTCATTTGCTATTTCTTAACAAAAACTTGTGAAAGCATGTAAACTATACCCCTATCTTTTGGATAACAATGGTTAAGTACAAAAAAATTCATTTAACATCTTACAAATCATTACAGTTATACATAAAAGCACCTACAAAATTTAAAAAAATAAAAGATTCACAGTGCACTGAACCTTGGAACATGTAAGGTTGGAACATAAGAACATTTAAAAAGTGGATTCAAAGACCTATTTTTCCTCTCAAAGACATAAAACACAATGAAGCCAACCCAACTACTCTTCTCATCTAGCTTCTTAAAATGCAGCACACAGAAGTAAATTATTGCATATTCAGCACACTCCTTTATCACTTGATTTCTTCAAACCATGCTAAAATTTCTCGAAGGAGAAATCCAGTTCTGTGCTAAGCATGGCCTTTCTGAAGGTAACCTGAACACTGAGAAACTAATACACAGGTTCAAGGGAATAAGTATAGCAGATGTACATAAAACAGGTACATCCAACTTATACATTTTCTGCATAGTTAAGTCACATCACACACATAAACTTTAACTCACATCTTTATCTCAAACTGTCAAGAGAGCTAAAAGCCTCAAGTTACCAAAATCCCATCCCAACAATACCCTTATTTTGTTCCACAGTGCATTAAACGAAGCAGCACAACAGCAATAACATTTAACCATAGTTAAACTGCTGTAATTGAAAAGAGATAATCTGTTGGTTCTTGAAAAGGCTCAACACCTTTAGAGGACATACTTCTGGTAACTAACTCTAATCTCTTTTGCTTTTGCATTAAGAGCTGAAAAACCCAACTCTAGGCACCAGAAAGATTGACCAAAATACTCAAAAAACAAAAACCACACACACACACACACACACACACACACACAAAATTACTAAAAATTATATGGTTTCCAGATGACAGTAAATGAGTGAAAATGATTTACCTGCCAGGCAAACTAAGTTTTCACTCCCTTAACAATTTAATAGAAATCTGGAATGCTGGGACCAACTATAAATATGGCTCAAGGAGACCCAAGCAAAGCAGCTGTATTTCTGGAAAGAACAGTAAGAGCTTCCAAAAGCAATCATATAATGCATTTTAAAAAAGGTCACAGAAGGATTCACAAGTTTGTCACATTAAAAGATGCAGGATTATGAATAACCTAATTTTAAACACACTGCTGTAATCGTGAATTCTCCTGCTTAGCACCAAGAGGGTGACACTTTTATTAATAAATAGAATTTCTCCTTTAAATTTAATCAAGCCATTTAAAAGCTAAAGCAAAGAAATACCAAGTGAATTCCTTACAATAGTACTTCTTCTGAAAGTCCCACTGGGTTAAATAGAACCCCTATTAAATAGGCTATCTATACAGAATAAAGATTTCTACAATAAAATTTACAAGCAGAGATATATTCTGTGGATACCACATGTAAAAAAAGATTTTTAAAACCCACATGGCAGATGCACACGCACGCATATGCTCACACATAACACCCCCAAAAGAAATACCTTCAATGAGGTCAGAAGCAGCCCCAACACTAAAGCCCCCTTTTAAAGTTCTGGCGATTGTCCTCAATTAGAGCTGAAATTCTTCTTAAAATGGGCATTGCCATCTTTATTTAGATTTAAGAATCCTGAAAGAGCAAAATACAGTCCTAGAAGTGAGTTATGTATGTTACCTTCATGTTCTGATCGTCCCCTAGTGAAATGCTTTATTTGTACTTGGGTGAACCGCATACCCCTTCCCTTCTCACTCCATCATCCAGGGGCTTCAGCATGCTCATAAAAGCATGTCAGTTTCTGCTGCTACTGCAAATTGGAACCTAATACAACATTAGTTTCCAGAGATCAACACCAAGATGCAATGTAAAACCTAATAATGTCAGTATTCCATTCATATTTACACAACTGTAATAGGGAATAAATTTTCACAGGAATGAAACCATTGTACAATACTGAAGAGCTGGTGGCAGGACAGTGAAGACAAGACCAAAGCAGCTGCCACCAAAGCAGTTGCCGGGTCCCGGCCTCCATGCTCCACGCTCCCCTCTCCCCACCACTCTCCCAGGTTTGCTGACTGCACAAGGCTCTCAACTCCAAGTCAGAGTGTACTCCCCCCACCTAACCAACTCAGTCCCTCTCCAGGCTGAGGACTTTTGTCTTTTAATGAAGTGCTGTGTTCATTTTTAACATGAACATTACACAGTAGATGCTGGCTCTAAATAAACCTTTCAACAAATCTCCCAGCACAGGAGGATTAGAGAACCCGAGTGGTTAGAAGCAGAGAAATGCGCAAAATGCCACCAAAGCAGATGACCTGTGATCTTAACTTCTGTGACATTTTTAGCTCTTGCATTCATTTATTATTTGTGAATTTTAAGTTTCTTTTAAAAACGTCAACATAGGCAAACTCTAATTGCAGTCACTGTCATGGATAGATGGAACATTCCCATTAACTTGGCTACCTGATGATGACTCAAACACTATTTTCTTGACCAGAACACGAAATAAAAATCACAATCACACAGAAAAAATGCTCTCATAAAAAGCAACTTAAATTCGTTAGCCAAACACTGAAAAGGTATATCTGTATAAAAGGTTATAACTGCATTTACAGTGCAAACTCATGTTTCTTTCTACTCTCTCTTCTGCAGAGAACGTTATCTTCAGAAACATCATTGCCTCCCTGCATTTCTTTAAAACACCTGAGAAAGGTAAGGCTCAAAGAGACACCCACTCAAATGCAACAGGTCTCTGATCCTGGGACTTCCACAACACATCTGCTGCTTTCAAAGGTCCAAGATTTTCATTATAGCATTATGGTCAAACTTAAAACTCAAAAAGGCTCTGGATGAAAAGGGGAACTTGCAATGACCATTACATGCCACAGACTGTCCCTCGGCATGTTCTAGCAACTGGTCTTCACCGGAGCAAGGCAAGTCATATGCAGCATCTGTTTAAATAAACAAACAAACAAACTCAGTAACTTTATAGTAAGAACTCAAATACTGCCCTTCCCACCTTTTGTTCTACAGGAATGCAGGTACAGTATATACTTTTCCTCACCACACTCTAAGTCTAACCTAAGCAGAACCGCCAAGATACTTTCCTTTCCCTAAACTGGGGCTCAACTGATTTTCTAATCTATGATTATTGATTTCCACACATTCATTCAAAATCTAATCTCAGCCTTTAAGACCCTTACTATTCACATGCTTTTGTCTACCTCCCATATTTGTTTTCTGTGCCAACATAAAGGGAGCTTCTTAAAAGATCAAAATGTAAGCACTGTAGAAAAAAGAAAAAAAAAAGGCAAGCACTATAAAGATTACAACTGTAATCTAAAATTTATAAAGAGTCCAATTCTAGAAAAATAAAGATGGAGCTTACCACATCTCTAGGGAATATATTAACCTACAGAAAAATCCAAATTTTCAAAATCATGGTCCAACAAAACTCCCAACTTACCAGGGTTTTGTTTTGTTTTTTTTGTTTTAAAGGTAGAACAGAGACCTAACCAGGAAAGTGGATTGGGAATAGACAAAGAACCTGGGAGGTTCAGTCAATTAAGCATCTGCCTTCAGCCCAGGTCATGATCTCAGGGTCCTGGGATCAATTCCTGCTTCGGGCTCCCTGAAAAGCAGGGAGCCTGCTTCTCCCTTTCCCTCTGCCCCTCCCCCCTGCTTGGGAGCGCTCTCTCTCTCTCCAATAAATAAATAAAATCTTAAAAAAAAAAAAAAAAAAAGGCTGAGGCACAAAGAAAATCTCAAATGTTTCCCAGGACAAAAATCCTTTTATACTTCCTTTTCAAGACAAATTTTATATGTCCATACCATGCCCAACTAAGCTGGGTATATGAAGTTACAGTATACCTTCTTTTAATTTCTTCCTGAACATATGGCTTTTTAAAGATTTGTAAAGTAACTGATTTCTGAGCTTACATAATTAAACTACCAGCCTATCATGACCCCACCAGACAACATGGCCAGAAAAATCTTATTATGGGAACTTCTACCTCCATATCTATGTATACCAAACTACTGATAGTTCCTACGACTTCATAGTTAACCTTAATTTTCCAAAATAGGGTTAAAGCATCTTTGAAAATAGCATTTATCCTGCTTAAATCATAAACAGTACTGCAAGAAAATATGATAATGCTTCTTATTTCTTAGACTTTTCTATATGAAAGCCTTAAATTTAAATGGTGAATAATGTATATATCTACTGCATAGGGATTTCACACAACTCAAAACAGCACATAAGAAAAGTCTACTATACTTCCAAATGACGTCTATTAAATCAGTATTACCAAATAACTTTCTACATTCATCACCACTACCTTCCAAATCAGATCACACACCTACTCTTTATAACTGACAATGGAGAAGTTCCAGATGTCATTTTAATAAAAGCTATCCATAGTGCCTCCTTAAAAAGTTGCTCATTACCTCCTAAAAGTGGGAAATGTTGCCATTCTGAAGTTAGTACTCATATATATATATATATGTGAGAATGAGGTCTCCTCACCTTTACAATACTTGGTTCTACTTCCCTCTCACTAATAATTACTGACTTACAATGTTCACACACAGTACCAAGGTTTGACATTCACACACAAAAACAGCACACTGAAAGGGAAAATCATTTCATCTTGATCATTTAAGGTCATTTTAGCGAGTTTCATATTTAGAGAACATGACCATTTTAGAGAATATGAACTCTACAGACATGTGCAACTCTTCCTGCTTATCTTTCACAGTCCATTATACTCTCAACTAAAATCAAGGTTAGGCCAAAACCAAATCAAATCCCACCAGAGATTTTAAAAAGAAAATGACTTGCCTGTTTCGAAATTATCCTGAAGTTTTCGTGGATGAAGTCTTTTTTCACATTTCTAAAAAAACAAACAAACAAGAAACACACAACACACCAGCTGTAGTTATTCTAATTACTATAAATGAGGAGATATACGATCAAATTTCTCAGGAAGAAAATTAAGCCAGTAATATAATCACCATCCCCAGTCTTACACTAGTATTTTTATTTTTTTAAGCCTAAAATTTTTTTAGTTCTTGATTACATGTACAATATAGAAACACCAGAAAAAGAAAATTACTCATTAAATTTCTCAACCCAAAGATAATTAAGTATTAACATTTTGGCATATCGTTGTAGCTTTTTCTCTATGAAGATACTGAAAATTTTCATATAATTACTAAAAATTAAGTGGAATTATTTAGTACATAGGACTATTCTATAACCTACTTTTTAAAAAGATTTATTTATTTTAGAGAGAGAGAGAGGAAAAGAGTGAACGCATGCGAGTGGGGGGGGAAGGGGCAGAGGGAGAGAGAGAAACTCCAGCAGACTCCCCACTGAGCATGCAGCACAAAATGGGGCTCAAGCACATGGGGCCCAATCCCACGATCCTGAGATCATGACCTGAGCTGAAATAAAGAGTTGGACAGTTGGATGCTTAACTGACTGAGCCACCCAGGCGCCCCAATCTACTTTTTAAGTGTAATATACTGTGAACATTTTTGTTAATATAAAACCACACCATCATTTTTAATGACTACAAGGTAGTCCATTGCATAGATCTGTAATATTGCATTTAAAATTATATTCTTGGATATTTAGACTGTTTCCATATTTTCATTATTCAAAAGAATAATGGGATGAACATTCTTTAAAATTTTCTTCTAGGGAAACAATTTAAGAACCTTTTCAGGCGTTCCATATAGTCAAGCTACTCTCTAGAAGGTTTTACCAGTTAGTTATTTTTAAGTGTTGCCAAAACACTCAACAATATACAAATGGCTCTCTTTTTACCTGTGCCAATCTGACAGGAAAAAAGTGTAATAGTAAAAGGCAAGTAATCTAACAGTAAACTGATCTTTAACATGTGTTTGCCCGTGAAATCAATACACCCCAAGTTAAGTAAACAGCAAATAGAAATTCAGGTAAAAAATTTTTGCTAAAACCTTAAAACTATTATCACCCACTATTAAAAAAGAGAAGTAGGTGAAACTACAACAAGAAAACTCAACATACAAATACCAGGACTTACAGAAAAGATAAGCAATGGAGACCCATTAGTTATGAATTGCTACTTTCTGGAGCACAGACTAAAAGAGTGGAAGTAAATGCCTTAAAATGCTCACAGGTAACAGACAGTTACCTGTCTGCAGGCCTAGTCTAAGGGTTATGGCACTGGCTTTATTTTATTTTTAATTTTCTAAATTCTATCAACTTGAAGGAAAAAAAATACACCGTGACATTCTTCCCAACTTTCAACTTTCTTAAAACAATACAGACTCTATTTAGAAAAATAAAGAAAAATAGCCAAGGACTTGCTCTTTCTAGAAAGCAGAGTTGACTACACACTATTTTTGCAGTACTAAAAAATATTTAAATACCCACATAAAAAAGCAAAAATCAGATGTGCAATTGAATCAATGTGACAAACCTGTAACAGAGTAGCCAGAGATTTTAAGTGAGCAAATAATGCACAATTTCACTTCATAAAATCTTATCAATATATCAATTCAATGTGCTTTGACAATGCCCTTGCTCCACTCCTAAAAATAGGGTGAACTGCCTTCTTAGAGTTAGAGCTGTAAGTCTTACCATCAAGGGATTCTGCTGCTTGGCTGGCTGGCTGTGGACCCCGTTTGTTCTTTTCTTTTGATTAGGTGAATCCTGATACTGTTTTCTGCCATTTCCCCTCATACTTTGATTCTGTTTTTCCAATGAGAAGAAATAAAATGTAAACCTACAATATAATGTAACAGGACAAAAGCATATACCCCCAAGATTATATTTAGCTGGCTGAGTAAGAGTTTAGCAAAGTCCCCCCCAAATTTTCCTAAAGTACTAGGGAACCACATCATATATTTTCTTACAGAACATAGTGCTCACAAAACAAGATTCCTCTAAAGGTACGAAATAGCAAATATAATGGTCCCTAGGACTCTTGTCTTATCCCATTTCTGCGTACAGATTTTGTTTACAATGCATGAGTTAAAAAAATAAAAAAGGGAGGGGGAGAGAGGAACAAGTTTGAAAACCTTATGCGACTGTCAAAATAACCTTTTGTGAGGGGAATGCAAAGGTACATTGGCCACAGTTCTTATTTTTATTTTTTTATTCTTATGTTAATCCCCATACATTACATCATTAGTTTTAGATGAAGTGTTCCATGATTCATTGTTTGTGCATAACACCCAGTGCTCCATGCAGAATGTGCCCTCCTCAATACCCACCACCAGGCTAACCCATCCTCCCACCCCCCTCCCCTCTAGAACCCTGTTTGTTTTTCAGAGTCCATCGTCTCTCATGGTTCGTCTACCCCTCCGATTTCCCCCGCTTCATTCTTCCCCTCCCGCTACATTCTTCTTTTTTTTTTTCTTAGGCCACAGTTCTTAAAACAAGAAATATATAGCAGATGTGATCAACTGTTACCCTAAAATCTGCTTTAAATTATTAACAAGTAAATATTTTTAAATTAATAATCTTTTATACGAAATAAAGACTGGTATTCTTTTTTAAGATTTATTTATTTGATAGAGAGAGAGCAGAGAGAGCACAAGCAGGGGGAGATGCAGAAGGAGAGGGAGAAGCAGACTCCCCACTGAGCTGGGAGCCCAACATGGGGCTTGATCCCAGGACCCAGGAATCATGACCTGAGCCAAAGGCAGATATCTGAGCCACCCAGGTGCCTCAAAGAGTGGTATTTTAAAAACTTAGGCCATTATAGGGCGCCTGGGTGGCTCAGTTGGTTAAGCGACTGCCTTGGGCTCAGGTCATGATCCTGGAGTCCCGGGATCGAGTCCCGCATCGGGCTCCCTGCTCAGCGGGGAGTCTGCTTCTCCCTCTGACCCTCCCCCCTCTCATGCTCTCTGTTTCTCATTCTCTCTCTCTCAAATAAATAAATAAAATCTTAAAAAAAAAAAAAAAAAAAAAAACTTAGGCCATTATCTCTAAAGTTAGACCTAAAGCCTAAACATGCATTAGTTGACATTTTGCAATTGTATTATTTAACAGTTAAATTTCTTACCACCCCCCCAAAAAATCTAAGTTTAACTTAAAAAATAAAGTTTTTAAACATTAATTTGTCCCTAGAGGTCTTTTTTTTTTTTTTTAAGATTTTATTTATTTATTTGACAGAGAGAGACACAGTGAGAGAGTGAGAGAGGGAACACAAGCAGGGGGAGTGGGAGAAGGAGAAGCAGGCTTCCCGCGGAGCAGGGAGCCCGATGCGGGGCTCGATCCCAGGACCCTGGGATCATGACCTGAGCCGAAGGCAGACGCTTAACGACTGAGCCACCCAGGCGCCCCTATCCCTAGAGGTCTTGAAAGGACAACTAGTTAAGACTAAAACAACGTGAATAATTATTTTATTGTATTTTAAAATATCAAAATATATTTGTTTATATTCTATCTACCTACCAAAAAAGTTAAGCAGTTCCTAAAACAGCTTGAAAACAATAGGCTTTTTTTTTAAAGTTTTTATTTCAACATGGGGCTCATACTCACAACCCAAGATCAAGAGCTGCGTGCTCTTCTGACTGAGACCCAGGCATCCCAACATTAAACTAACTTAAATAAAGAATGGTAAGGAACAGAGAACAAACTGATGGTTGCCAAAAGGGGGATGGGCAAAATGGGTGAAGAGGAGTGGGAGATACAGGCTTCTAGTTAGGGAATGAATAAGTCACAAGAATAAAAGGCACAGTGTAGGGAATATAGTCAATCACACTGTAATAGTGTTATACATACGGTGGTTTTATGGTGACAGATGGGAGCTACACTTGTGGTAACATACAGAGATGATGAATCACTATGTTGTGCTCCTGAAACTAACATAATATTGTCAACTATACTCCAATTAAAAAAAAATTATTTTTTAAATAGGAAGGGATGCGTGGGTGGCTCAGTCGGTTAAGTGTCTGCCTTCGGCTCAGGTCATGATCCCAGGGTTCTGGGATCGAGCCCCACATTGGGGTCCCTGCTCCGCGGGAAGCCTGCTTCTCCCTCTTCCACTACCCCTGCTGTGTTCCCTCTCTCGCTGTCTCTCTGTTGAATAAATAAATAAAATCTTTAAAAAAAAACAGTAAGGAAACAGGTTTACAGAAACTCATGTTACACATACTTTTAACTCAATTTCATTCATTCTGCTCTTCCTGGTATATTTTAGTGTGGTAGAAGAAATATAAAGTTTACCACTATAACTACTTTTAAATGTACAATTCAGTGGCAGTAAATATAGTCACAATGTTGTGCAACCACCACCAGTATCCATCTCCAGAACTTTTTTCATCATCCCAAACAGAAACTTTATATCCATTAAATAACTCTGTATTAACCTGTCCCTCAGCTTTGGTAAAACCCTAAGTTAATTTATATCTATAAATTTGTCTATTAGGTACCAAATATAAGCAGAATGGTACAATATTTGTCAGTGGTGTGTGACTTATTTCACACAGCATGTGTCTAAGTTTCAATGACCATGTTGTAGTATGTGTGTGTCATAATTTCATTCCTTTTTACAACTAATATACCTCTGTATGTATATTCTGTTCATTTGTTAATCTGTTGATGGACATGTGGGCTGTTTCCACCTTTTGGCTATTGTGAATAATGCCACTATGAACACTGGTATACAAGTTACCTGGTTGAGTCCTTGTTTTCAGTTTTGTGAGGTATATACCGAGGAAGTGGAATTGCTGGATCACATGGTAATTCTGTATTTAACTTTTTGAGGAACCACCAAACTATTTTCCATGGCAGCTGTACCATTTACATGCCCACCAAAAATGCATGGGATTCTAATTTCTCCACATTCTTGTCAACATTTGCTATTTTCCTTTTTTTTTTCCTTATTACAGCTATCCTAATGGATATGAAGTGGTATCTCAGTGTGGTTTTGATTTGCATTTCTCTAAAGACTAATGATGCTGAGATTCTTTTCATGTGTTTATTGGCCATTTGCCTATCTTCTTTGGGGAAATGTCTATCCAAGTTGTTTGCTCATTTTTTAAATTGGGGTTTTTTCACGAATTTGTCAGCCTCGTGCAGGGGTCATGCTAATCTTCTCTGTATCATTCCAATTTTAGGATATGTGCTGCTGAAGTGAGCACTAATTGGGGTTTTTTGTTATTGAGTTAGAGGAGTTCTGGATTTTAATTTAACATTAGATATGTGATTTGCAAATATATTATCTTTTCACTCTTTGAGAGTGTCCTCTGATGCACAAAAGTTTGTAATTTTGATGAGCCCAGTATATTTTTTAAAAGAATGAAAACAAAGAAGAGTGTCAGCCAAATGGATGGCTAAAATGATAAAGACAGATAATGCCAAGAATTAGTAAAGATGTGCAACAAGCGGAGCTCTCATATATTTGGTTGGGGATAACTTGAGAACAGGCATATCCGGTGATCCAGAAATTCTGTTCATTATCTATACACAAAAGAATGCTCATCAAAATATACGTACAGAAATATCCATAGCAGCACTGTTTGCAAAGCCCAAAACTGGAAACGACCAAAATGTCCATTAAGAGTAGAATGGATAAAGTGTGGTATAATCATGCACTCGAATACAACACAATAATAAACCCTTCATTGATGGCATATATATCAAAGTTAGATGCTAATTTTTATTACTTACTACACTGTATTTATACCAAAACTGTAAAGGTTACAAAGTTCAGTTGCGCTTCAAATCACAAGTCAGGAACACAGAAGTCTGATCAACAATTCAGAGCTCTGTAACTCTTAATCTGCAATTCTTCAATTCAGATACATTTCAAAGTCAAATCTAAAGTTATGAAAATCTTTAAATGTATTATCACTCACCTTCGCTTTTAAAAGGTCAGACATTTCAGAATGATTATTATATGGCTTTTGCTGCAGTGGTTGCCTGTGCTTTACCCACTGGTCACCAGGAGAACCTTCAGGAAACAACTGCTGACTGTGGCGGAATTTGGTTCGACTACACCAAGATTTAAAAAATAAAAACCAGATCACAAAATTTTCACTTAAAATTCTTCTAACATCTTGATAGTTTATCTTACAGATCACAAACTTTACTTTCCTATTTACTGTCTACCTCCCCGCATGGAATGCAAGTTCCGTAAGGGAGGGATTCTTATCTGCTTTACCTACTGCTCTATTCCCAGCACCCAGAGGAGTGCCTGGTGTTCACTATTTCTTGAATGAATGAATGAATGGTGTTATTTTTATTTTTAATCCCAAACTTTCCTAAATTATCCATATTACCTCCTCCCTATAAGTGATTATACCTTTAAAAACCTGAAGAAAATTCTAAATTTAGTTGAAACAAACAAATATAAGTGGATATTCCTTCTTATTAGGAGAGACAGCTCATTCTCAACCAGGATGTCTGAAGTGTGGAATTTGATCCTACACAGGTCGGTTACAAATCCCTTCCATGCTAAAAGAGGATCTGAAAATTTAAGCTATATTCTAAAGCAAAAAATTAAGGGGCCCAAGACAATAGATGAGCAAATTAAATAAAGGTCTGTGAAAGAATTTGATTGTAAAAGGTTGTACTCACACAGTATTTTGTAATAAAGAAATACCACTTTATAGTACCGCATATATGTATAGTAACAGTCCAGAGTCACTGATCCAAAGAACTGTACTACAGTGACTGTTTCTGAATATTTCAGAGTTCTTCTCCTTTCCCATTTAAAAATTATAATAAAATTGCAGCATGCCTACTTTTTTGAAACAAAATTCAGGTATTTCCTCCAACACATCATCACAGACATTAGTCTATATGCTAAAAACATACCATCTTGCCTAAGAAACCTGAAATTTGGTTCAAGTTGCTTCATAATGTCCTTACTCCACTCTCCAAGACCACAAAGCCTTAGGACTAAAAGATACGGGAGTCACATCACAAACTATGGTTTGTGTCTCCCAAACATGAACAGTCATACCACTGTTTTCCAAACACTGTCACGACTTTGTAACTTTTTAATAGTATGCTTCTTTTAAATCTTAGCTACACTCCTATTTTCCTACACTGTTTCATTTATGTCTAGTAGTATATAACTTGATTATAATCACAGGTTCTGAAAGGCAGAAATGATTCTCAAGGCATTTAGTCCAAGCTCCTGTCCTCATAAAACCCAACTAAGATAGAATATTCCCTATGTATTTAAAAAAATATTAACTCTAGATGTGGTTTGTTCCTGTTTAATTTTTGAAGCCCTCAGACAGAATCAGAACATCTAAATTAAATAAAATGTATAATGCAACTAACTCTCTGAACCTAACATATAGAAGTTCTAGCAAGCTTATTACAAATATATACGCTTATTTAACAAAATTATTTGCTCAGCCTACTCTATAATTGCCATTTGGATATAATTAAGTTCCAACCAAGAAAATGTTCTTTGTGGTTCCTGTCCATGTAACAGTCACTTTTTACAGTACAACAGTCTTTGTAAGGGAAAGAAAAGCAGCAAGCCCAAGTCTTCACAGTTCTATCTTTCTGAACAAATTATACATCAGCATTCCTCATCTCCCCTATACAAAAACAGACCTCAATATATCCTCTATTCAACAATCTTCAGAGATGCAATGGTCTCTGAAGTAGGATATGAGAACAGAGAACAATAGCAACACACACAGTGGCAGATTTTTTTTCTTTTCCTCATGTTCTATCTACCCATCTAAAAAGTTGGTACCCTCTTGTGCATACTATTTTAAAATGTGCCTGAAGCTCCTTTCCAACTCCAATTAACCTTTTTCATCTCATCAAAAACCCTTTAAAATTTTTTTCTATTATCTCTAAGACCAGTAACAAAATAATATACTACAAAAAGGAATCCAATGCTTCTGTAAACTTCACAAGGAAAATGCTACTGGCATTAAAAACTATCAGAAAGTAGGAATCCTATGAATATATTTCTTTACCTCAATTTTTCCACAGTGGGCTTAGCTGGTGTGCTACCGACTGAGGAAAATCCATTGTCACTGTCTGAGGAATCTCCAAATCTCCGCGAAAGCCAGTCCCTTAGTGGTCTACGGAAACATTAAGAATTCACTCTTAAAACTTAGCTACATAAAAAAACAACCAGAATTAGTTTTGTACTTCAAGAAATAGGAACATACCTGATAAAGGGAATGGCCATAAAAAATTTGTTAGGTGCCAAACCAAGTTTGGATTTCGGGGTCATATCATTTCTATGACAGGGCAATTTCTCAATGGAGAACCACTCAATGTTCTGAGACACACAAAAAATAATTCATTTAGTTAATTATCATCAAGGAGTTTCTAAAAGCAATTTCCTACTTCATTCAATTGGGATACTGTCCAGTAGCCTGAAAATACTTTCAATTACATACCCGAATTTCTCTTCTGGTTTTCGGGTTAAATTTTGTGTCTTTTGGAATTCCTGGAATGATGTACAAACGAGCAAGCTGGTCATTGATTCGAAGTTCAATGTAATCATCTTTACAAATATAATCTTTGATATCAAAACCAGTTTCCTCAAAGACCTGGAAATAACAAATTGAGATGGCGATTTTCAATTGTTGCTGTTAGATCTCCAGTTTGTTAAAATTTGTTTCAACAAAAACTCAGAAATATCCAGGCAATTAAAGGCATGAAAACACCAGACAAGAAATCAAAATATTCTAGGATCTAGTTCTAGCTCTGAACTGTTCAACTATGGATAAACCCTTTTATATATCTAAGCCCAAGTTCTTCACCTATTCAATGAAGGAAGATGTGTGATACTGTGATTTACAAAAAGAAATATATATTATTTGGTCTTCATCTCCTTTCTGATACAAAGCTCCTAAAACCCTTGGAATTTCCTAATCGATGAAAGCAACCAAGGTACCTTTTGTCCATGTTACTAAGGTGACTTTTGGATCCCACCTAAAGATGGGGGGCTGATTGCCAGGACAACCAACCAAGGGATCAGAGGATTAGAACTCTCAGTCTACCCTCAACCCCTACCCCACCTCCAACCTCCATGAAGGGGACGAAAGGCTGGAGACTGAGCTCAATGGTCAACAGCCAATGATTAAATCAACCCTGCCTGCATAAGGAAGCCTCCATAAAAACCCAAGGAAGTGGGGGGACATGACTTCCAGGTTGGTGAACGTGGAGATTTGGAAAGAATGGTACACTAGGAGACAACATAGAAGTGCACCCTTTCCCCATATCCTGCCCTCTGTAGCTCTTCCATCTGGGTGTTCTTGAGTTATATATCCTTTTTTTTTTTAAAGATTTTATTTATTTATTTGAGAGAGAGAGAATGAGAGACAGAGAGCATGAGAGGAAGGAAGGTCAGAGGGAGAAGCAGACTCCCCACTGAGCAGGGAGCCCAATGCGGGACTCGATCCCGGGACTCCAGGATCATGACCTGAGCCGAAGGCAGTCGCTCAACCAACTGAGCCACCCAGGCGCCCCGAGTTATATATCCTTTTAAATACACTGGTGATCAAGTAAGTAAAATGTTTCTCTCAGTTCTGAAAGCCACTCTAGCAAATTAAACCCAAGGAGGGGGTCTTTGGAACCTCCAATAGGTCAGAAGCACAGACAACAACCTGGACTTGCAAGTGTTATCTGAAGTAAAGGGCAGTCTTGTAGGACTGAGCCCTTAACCTGTAGAATCTGATGCCATTTCCAGGTAGACAGAGTCAGAACTGAGCTGAACTGTAGGACACCCAACCAGTATCTGACAATTGCTTGTTGGTGTTAGGAATGCCACCCCCCACCCCCAAACACAAACACATTATAATTGAGTCTGGAACTCTTAAAATGTTAGAATACAGCAGCAGTTCCCAGTCTGTGGAAAGTACATACTGGGACCACATATGGATTTTAATCACAGCATCTACAAATCTACAGGTACGCCAAGCTACAGACTAAAAATTGCCTTACACATATAAAACTATTTTTTGGGCTAGGTGCCTCAGTCGGTTAAACATCTGCCGTTGGCCCAGATCATGATCCCAGAGTCCTGGCACAGAGTCCTGCACTGGGCTCCCTGCTCAGTGGGGAGTCTACTTCTCCTTCTCCCGCTGCCCCTCCCCACCCTGCTCGTACCCTCTCTCTCTTGCTCTCTAATAAAATTTAAAAAAAAAACAAAACTATTTTTCAAAAATGAAAACTGAATTGTGATTAATCCTAACATTTAAATGGACAGATTCCAAAAGTACAGCTACAACCCCATGTGTGGGGGTCTGGGGGTGGGGAGGTGAATGCAAAAAAACTGAAAACCAGTGAAATAGACTCGTGGTTCTAAACTGCCTTCCCTCAGCAGTGCCTCAAGGGCTGGAAGAGGAGGAACTAGGAGAACATATATCTCAGGAACTGATGTTACATCTAACCTTCACCTCTTCCCTCAACCAGAGAAACCACATTTATTCTGATTAACACACTGGGCTTCTGTATAAAGTAAAAAACCACTGGTCTCTTCTGGCCTTAAAGTTCTCCTTCAAATAACATTTGTATTACTCTGACAAAGGCCTTCCCAACTTCACCCCCACCAATCAAAAAGGCTTTGAATTCTCAGTGGCTAGAACCCACTGTGGATCTTTTACACATCCCCAGTTCCTCCCCTTTCCTCTGGTTTCAGCATCTCTTAACCAACCAGTGGGACAGAAGATGTTAAAACACATGGACAGGCCTGAATCTCTTACAAGGTACAGGTATGAAGGAGCTATTTCTACTCATTGTCTCTTCCCTCTCTGTCAGTTCATGTACCTCTTTCTACATTCCTCAAAAAAGGCACAGCTATCCTTCTCCCAGACATGTGTAGTTTAGGACTCCCAATTTAAGCTCCTCCATGACACCCAACTCATTTCTGTCACCCTTTCAGTAAGCCCCTAAGTATGCTAAACCTCCTATTCTTCATTAAAAAATGAAAAAATTTAAAAACTAGGTGAAGGGTGCCTGGGTGGCTCAGTCGTTAAGCATCTGCCTTCAGCTCAGGTCATGATCCCAGAGTCCTGGGATAGAGCCCAGCAGGAAGCCTGCTTCTCCCTCTCCCACTCCCCCTGCTTGTATTCCGTCTCTCACTGTCTCTCTCTGTCAAATAAATAAATAAAATCTTAAAAAAATAAAAACTAGGTGAATATACTCACTTAAAAAATGTTCTGTGGTATACAGAAAATGAGAAACATTATTTGTATTTCCTACTTCTGGAAATGTCAGACTGGGTATCTAAGTACATATGTGGTATTGAAAAAAAGGAAGTTCTCTTGTCCTATGTTTCTTTATATCTACATCAGGTATTGTAGGTATACAGAGAAACAGTCTATTAAAGGTGGTCAGTGACATTCAAACACAGCAAAACTATGTATCTTTTCCAGAACAACATTCTGAAGCTCAGTGACAGAGGTTTCATACCTCCCCAAATCTTAACATTTATATACACAAGACAATGTAATTAAAACCATCATGTGGATTTATTTTGCAATGCATATATGCTATCTGATGTTTGCATGAAAGCAAAATCCAGATGCTTTAGTTTTCCTTTTACTTAAAACAAAGGTCTACTCTACTGCTTGAGATAGAGCTTAAAAGCATTTTTGATTATAAATCAACCTTAATGGATATTAGATTTATAACAATTAAGACTGGGGCACCAAAAAAAAAAAAAAAAAAGGACTGGGATACCTAAACAGGAAACTGCTTCTCTTCATCAAAGGGAAGACATAAACCACAAGACATTCACAATACAATCCAGAATATATTGGAAAGTCCTATCAATTAGACAAGTAACCCAACTTTTTAAAAATGGGTAACATGTAAGTGGGTACTTAATCAAGAAAACATTCAAATGGCCAATAAGAACATGACAATGTGCTTAAAATCCTTAAACTTCAAGAAAAAACAAATGAAAAATACAATGATAAAGCATTACATTCCCATCAGAAGGGCTAAATTTTTAATTGAGATATAATTAACAGATAACATTCTTATATTAGTTTCAGTACAACACAATGATTTGATATTTGTATATACTGTAAAACGACCATAAGATTTTCTGTACTTTTACTGATATATAATTGACAAATATCACTGTATAAGCTTAAAGTGTACAGCATAATGCTCTGACTTACATATATTGTGAAATTACCACCTTAAGTTTAGTTAGCAACCCTTGCCTCATATAGAGTAAAAAGAAAAGGCAAAGGGATTTTTTTTTCCTTGTGATGAGAACACTTAAGATCTACTCTCTCAACAACTTTCATATATATCATACAGCAGTGGTTACCTATAGTCATCATGCTGTATATTACACCCCTATTACCAAGCTATAATGGGAAGTTTGCACCTTTTGACCACGTTCCTCCAATTCTCCCTAGCCCCCATCCCCACTTCTGGGCACAACAAATGTGATCTCTTTTTCTGAGACTGGTTTTTTGTTTTTTCTTTTTAGATTCCACATATAACTGAGATCATACAACATTTATCTTTCTCTGACTTATTTCACTTAGCATAATGCCCTCATGGTCCATACATGTTGCACAAATGGCAGGATTTCCCTGATAATGGCTGAATAATATCCATTTTGTGTGCAGGTGTGTATGAATATATACACCCCACAACTTCTTTATCAACTGTCAATGGACACTTAGGTTGTTTCCATTTCTTAGCTACTGTAAATAATGCTATGACCATGGCTACAGTATCTTTTCAAATTAGAGTATTAGTCTCTTTTGAATATATTCCCAGAAGTGAAATTCCTGGATCATATGGTAGTTCTATTTTTTTGAGAAACCTCCATACTGTTTTCCATAGTGGTTACACCAGTTTACAATCTCACCACCAGTACAAAACAGTTCTCTTTTCTCCACATCCTTACATTTGTCATTTATCTTTTTGATAATCAGGCCATTCTAACAGGTGTGAGGTGATATCTCATCATGGTTTTTTTTTTCTCTCATTGCGGTTTTGATTTGCAATTTCCCTAATGACTAGTGTTACTGAATATCTTTTCATCTACCTGTTGGTTATTTGTGTATCTCCCTTGGGAAAATGTCTATTCAGGTCTTTTGCCCATTTTTAATTGGATTATTAGGGGGTTTTTTGCTATTGTGTTCTAGGAGTTCTTTATATATTTTGGCTATTAACCCCCAAAATAGTTTGCAAATATTTTTTTCCATCCTATAGGCTGTCTCTTTATTTTTTTTTTTTAAAGATTTTATTTATTTATTTGAGACAGAGAGAATGAGAGACAGAGAGCATGAGAGGGAGGAGGGTCAGAGGGAGAAGCAGACTCCCTGCCGAGCAGGGAGCCCGATGCGGGACTCGATCCCGGGACTCCAGGATCATGACCTGAGCCGAAGGCAGTCGCTTAACCAACTGAGCCACCCAGGCGCCCGTGTCTCTTTACTTTATTGATGCTTTCTTTTGCTGTAGCTTTTCAGTTTGATGTAGTCCCACTTTTTTTTTTTTTTAAAGATTTTATTTACTCATTTCAGACACAGAGATACAGAGAGAGAGAGAGAGAGCATGAGCAGGGAGGGAGGGAGAA